TTCCATCACAGGATCTTCACCAATAGTCAGGTCAAATGGGGTCTTCCAGAGATTTGTTCTGGTGTTTTTGTTTTGATATTGAACGTTGTTTGACAAAGCTAAGCTGCTTAGCTTTTAAGATGCATGTTATGCCAAAAATGATTGAAAATTTGGAAAGCAGCAGTGAGTAGAGTATAAGAAGATCTCAATATTCAGTATCTGTAGTCCTGAATCTAGGGATAAGTTGCTTCTTATGGAGGGCTTATGTTTTCGTTTTTACTGTAGCTGGTCCTTGTGCTACAAACAACTTTCTGGCTTTGTACTGTGCTGTTCCTTCCTGCCCTGCCCCTTAAGCAGTGATTGAATTATACTCTGGTGTTTTCAGGGTAACTGAGTAACTGAGCCATTACTACTATGTGCATGCACACAACTTCCGAAGCATTGTTATAAAGCTCTGTCTTGTTAGCTACTGATACTTTTTTTTTCTTTTTTTTTTTTTTTTTGGTAAAAGAAGGAGAAGTGTTAAACTTGAGGTTTGAAATGTATATAAGAATACTAAAAGTGCCTCTTTCTAGCATATTGTCTCTCATTAGCAGTGAGGCTGATGCCAGATCCAAAGTTGGTTTCCTTTTTGTTTATATCCTATATAAATACTACTTTAACATTTATGAAAAAGAATTAAACCAAAAGTTTCATAAGAAATTATCAGCAGGCCTTTTCTCTCCTGATTGTTAAGCTGGTGTAACAGAACTGAAGACTTGTTGACTGCCTAGCAACAGGGCCAGTACGGTTGGAAGATCAGGTTAGCATTTCAGAGAAAATCAGCATTTTTCAGGAAAGCCTATACCTTTATATAATGGATGTCTTGTTACATGTGTTTTTGCAAGAAGCTTACACTGATGAAAAGGGGTGCATGCAATTTTCTTCTGAGCTTGTCCCTTGTTTCTGTTTCTGACACATTACTCCTTTCTTAGCTCTCTTTCTCCTCTCTCTTCAAATTCATGTCTAATTTTCCACCTTGCAGTTCCTGCATAGCTATTTTTTTTTTTTTTTTTTTGAGATTTCTGTTGAGATGTGCCTGGAGGGAAACAGTAGCAAAATATTTGTTATTTTTTCTGATATTAATAGGATGTTAAAAAACATTGTTCTTAAGTTTATGTAAAGGAGCATCAGTGTTCTGTGCTGCAAAACAGGATCTTGTAAGTGGCAAATATATTTCTAAAATTGGCATTATGTATTAGAAAAAATACTAATAGAGGAGAAAGGGGTAGCATTTATCTTGCATCATTTAGTCTGTGAGTAAACTCTGTAGTTGCCATTGGCAAGTACATATGCTGAGGTTAATTATAGGAAGGAATTAGTATTCTTGGGTAAAGTATGCTGCATTTTATAGTTTATGGAATACCCTCTAAGGCATAAGTTAGTATTTAGTTTGGTTCTTGGTGCTGACGTAAAAGAACAGGGAAAAAATCTGCTAACAGCCCTCAATATTTTGCTTTCAAATATGGGCTGAGAACTTTAATTTCCCTCCTGAAGAAACTATTTATACTGTGACCAGTAAAGGTTTTGCCTTGCACATTATACTGTTAAGTGCCTGTTTCTCACCTTGATGATGTGTTTGATGCACAGCAACATTTTTCAGTTTATTTTTAAATTGATATGATAAAAAATATGATCACAAAGCTGAAGTCTGTTATAAAACAAAATTGCATCCAAGTGGGAAACTGAGATATGTAAAATTAGTTTAGCTCCTAGTGCTGAACATTTTCGTGTGCTTTTTAAGTGAGATTTCCTCAGAAATAACCATTCTAAGGGTGAACGTTATAAAATTTAATATAATTTATTGTTATGCTTTAATAATGTATTTGTCTGTTGAGAACTCACGGGTGTGAGCTTTCCTTCTCTTATGTTTATAAACATGTCTGAATTTTCAGAATGGGGTCTGCTTTCTTTTACCTTCTTTAGATGCTTAACTTCTTATACATTTATGGGTTTACGCTGTACTCAGCTCTGTTGTGGATTAAAAGTGTAGAATATGTCCCTTAATATTTGTTTTGAAACTGCATTTCAATCTTTGTGAAATGGTTTAGAAGAAGGTAGCATTAAGACTGTATGATAAGATTGCACAAAATAAAATACAGTTTATATTGCTTTCTTGTAGCCAGTCTGCATGATTGTTGGCGTGGTTTTAACGGGAATTAAAAGCTTTGTGTGGCTGTAACTAGTCACTTCATTTAACTCTAAGCAAGGTTCTTTCTGAGTATTTTTATTTATTAGCATCATTTGCAAAAAGAAAAGTAGTATTTTCCATATGAATAAAGGCTTAGTTTGAACTGAAATGACTTATTCTTTGATAATTTTTTTTGTCCTCTTTTATTTGTCATATGAATCTGTTTCCATCTGCATAGCTGTTACTTGCATCATTGTAGAATACCGCCAAGGAAGTAATAGCTATGTTTGTCCAAATCACGCTGTCTCAGAAGCTGCAGCATCCTAGACTTAAAGCATCACACACTGCTTTCACAATGGGAAGAATTCATTGGTTTTGACAAACTGCAAATATTTTGTTTAACTGGTATTTATTGGTTTAAACTTTACTCTTACTTTTGTTTCATTTATTGGCTGTTATGAAAGCTTGGGCAGAGCAGCATTCCTTCCCTAAATTTCACCAGCTACATGTAAACTGGAAGACCTGGAATGCTCTTGCATATGTGGGCCCCATAACGAGGTGAGACCTGCACATCCTGGACTGTGACAAAAGTGAAATGCAGCCCTGTTACCAGTCAAGTGCTATAGACAAAAGCGTATTGTCCACTTCTTGCTCTTCCACTCTGGTCTGCTGGCTTTCTTGTTGTCTAAATAAGCAGGGAACATTTAGGCGAAATGTTCCTTACCAGAGTGTGCGAACTGTGTCCCTGGAAGTGTTCAAGGCCAGGTTGGACAGGGCTTTGATCAAACTGGTCTAGTGGAAGGTGTTCCAACCCATGGCAGGCGGTTGAAACTGGATGAGCTTTAAGGTCCCTTCCAGCCCAAACCAGTCTGATTCTTACTGGTTTTTACTTTTTTCCCCTAGAATGCTTGATAGTTGGGAAATGAAACCAGCACTATGAAGTAGAAAAATAATGTCCTAAAAGGCTTAAGTTGCTGGTGGTAGTTTGCAAAGGTGTGTATCATTAGATGTCTGTCTATGTCTCTCAATTTCTTGTAGCATGACTGCTCTGCACCATGCAACACAGGAAATCAGACAGCAAGGCAAAGAATACAGTTTAGAAACTGAGAGAGTTGCATTTATTGTTAAGTGCAACCAGCATAATAGCAGGAAAAGATGCTGCTTCTATAGTTTCAAAATAATGAGTATGAAAACAATCAGAAAACAGGGGTGTAAATAATAGAAAATGACATGAAATATGTAACAGTAAACAAAAGGAGAAGATGGTTTTTCAGATGATATTTACTAAATCTTAGCACTAGTACTGAATAAAGGAATGCCTGCTCTGTACTTGGGAAGGAAATCTTCCTTCTCTGTCTAGTATTTACTGAAAGATGCAACAAAGCAACTATAATCTTTTCAAGTCCATAATAATCTGGTAAAAGCCTGGCTGGCACTTCAATTTTTATGCTTTTGAGACCCAGATTACACTACTGAAAGCTTAATAACATTTTGAACTGTGAGTTTGCTATTGGAAAAGAAAAAGCATTACTCACTGCAGAGAAAAATACCTAGCTGTATTTTGTAAGACAAGTTTGTCCACTACTGAAACTAATCAGTGATGTTTTGCTTTTTAGTTGCTCTAACCCCTTGTACTGAGAAGACTGAATAGTTGAGTTTAAAGAATTTTTCTGAGAATTGGCTGGTTTAATTATTTGAGGTATGTAGTAAACCAGCTCTGATTTAGTCTTCTGGTCTATCTTAGCTTTTATCTCTGTCCTTGAAACAGAATCATAGAATGTTTTGGGTTGGAAAGGACCTGATCATCTAGTTTCAAGCCCCCTGCCATGGGATGCCTTCCACCAGACCAGGTTGCTCAAAGCTCCATTCAAACTGGCCTTGAACACTGCCAGGGATGAGACATCTACAGCTTCCTTAGGCACCCCATTCCAGTGCCTCACCACCCTCACAGTAGAGAACTTCTTCCTTACATCTAACCTGAACTTCCCCTAACTTTGAACCCGTTACCCCTTGTCCTATCACTACAGTCTCTAATAAGGAGTCGCTCCCCAGCATCCCTGTAGTCCCCCTTCAGATACTGGAAGGCTGCTCTGAGGTCTCCACGCAGCCCTCTCCACGCTAAACAGCCTCAACTTTCTCAGCCCGTCTTCATAGGGGAGGTGCTCCAGTCCCCTGATCCTCGTCGTGGCCCTTCTCTGGACTTGCTCCACCAGTTCCATATCAAACCCCCAAATGCTGTTGTCTTTGACAACTTGTTTGTCCAGAAGCCTTACGATTCTCCACAAGATCACACTGCAAAATGCTTCTGGTATTGGAGTGGCAGAGAAAACATCGGTGTGTCTGTGCTGGAGAAAGGAAGAGGGAGACTCATGCATCTAGAATCTAAATACTGTACTTGGTATGTTACTATTTTTTTGCTGCTAAAGCATTCTTAGTGCAAAATAGTTAATATAATTACTCCTTGCTTTGGCTTTTGTACTTGTCCCCTGTTAGCTTTTTCTGGGTCACATAGGCAAACATCCTCTCCGATGTACATAGAGACCTAATCTTTGCTGTTCCTCTCGTGATGGACACCTACTCTGAAGCAGACTTTCCTTCAGTTTAATGCCTGCAAACACTTTATCTTTTGAACATTTGACAGGACAAACAAAGGAAAACAAAGTCAAGCATCATTTCCCATTAGGAAGTAAACCATTGTTCGGTAGGATGGAGCACAAGGTTCCCAGAGTCATACTACACATACAGGAATGCTGCACACAGGGAGGGTTATGTTGAAAACTAGGGATTTAATGAAATATACTTGCTTTTCTTTCTTGTTTTCTAAACTCACCTGTCTCCTGAAGCATCTGCCCCTGTCTGCATGGCATGGCTGTTGCTGTGTGTTGAACCAAGTGCTGTGGTCGAGGTGGACAGCCTGTTAGCAGCTTCAGCCACGGTGGAAGATCTGGGCTCCTGACCTGTGTGGTGAGACCCAGCTGCACTGGGGATGGGGGGGAGGTTTCCAAGAGATGTGAAGGATCAGATGGATATTCTGGCATAAAGGAATGAAGCACAGTATAAAGAAAAGTTAAGGAGTCCAGAACATCTGAGAGTGCTGGGGGGGACACGACGGGGGACACCGGTGGAATTACTGTTAATATCTACTATTAGGCTGGAGGTTTAGCGTTTTAGAGAATCAGAACTAACACACAGCTAGTCCTCTTTCTTAGTGTTTTTTCTTGGTTATCCTATTCAAGAACAGGATTTTTGGTTATGATGAGCAACTGGAAAGAATGTCCCCTGTGCACAGGGACAAAATGAAGGATTTGGATGCCTTTAACCTTGATGCTCTGTAATTCACAGCAAGCACTTCTCCAGATCCATTCTTGTTAATATGCCTATAAATTAAACTTAATTGATCAAAAATTTAGCAGGTAAGTGTGGGTGATAGAAGACTGTGCCTTTAAACATAGGATTAGTAGGTCAGCTTGCAGCAAGAACTTAAGCGATGGTGGGATTAAACTATTGAAGTTATACCTGAACTAAACAGCTCCAAACAGTATCCTGCTTCTTCAAAGACTGTACTCTCAGCCACCTCCTCTTCTCTGCTCTCTCACACATTCCTGAGATCTCAGAGAGCCTTCCCCATCCTTCCTTGAAATCCCTGATAATTCCCCATTAGTGTCAGGACATTATTTTTCCCCTTAGGGGAGGAATTACATGCTAGGGGTTGATTTTGTTTGTCTGTTTTATTACCTCTAAACCTGTAAATCTGGAAATTTAAGCATCACTTAGAAGTTGCCAATTTTGGAATGAGTGAGACCTGCCCCAGTATTCCTCTTTTGAACACTCAGAAGCTGTGCCAAAGGGGCCTTGCAGACTTAGTCTCAGAATATATGTGTGAGCCTATTACAGCTAATACTGTAATTTGCCAACCATTTCCAAATATTTGATACTGTTTTCCATATGTAATGGTGGTATCTTTTTAATGAATTGGCAACCTTAGCTGAAGAGTAATAGTTACTCATGCCCAACATATGGAAGGGGAAAAATTCTCTTTATCAGGACCACTTACTGGGAAAAGGGGAGGTAGGGCTGTAATCCCCTCTCCTAGAGGGGCATATGCTGGAGTACTTGCACATGGTCACTATGCTGCGACACAGCTGGGCAGGTGCTGCCTGCAGTGGGCTGTGATGCTCTGACCCTTTGCTTCTCTTAGGTGAGTACCTGAACATCAAATAGGGACTGAGGACTGGAAAAAATTTACGTATTCTAAGGGAGTGGCACAGGTTGAGCTGAAATGCCTGAGGAAGAATGGTTCCATGGAAATTATCCCTAAAACTAGTAATTTCTCATTTTGGTTGGATGGGTGACTTTGACTGGCTGACTGCAACTGCTTTAGGAGAGCACACCTGCCTGACTCTGCCTGTAACAGCCAGGACACAGGAGGCCAGAGTGGAGGTTTTACTTTAAGGTATAACCCTAGTCATCAGTTACAGCAAACACTTTGGTTAACACAAGTAAGTGCTGGTATAAAGAGTTGTCAAATTACGTTCTTTACTACAAGTGAGGCATTAACAAAATTATTGTCCTGAAGAGATCAAAACAATCCATCAACATGACTTGCTTAGGTGACATAATTAAAATCTAGCTTCTATGCATCCAATGACTTCAGACCATGCAGTCACTTTTAATCAAGCTCTGGTATTTGCCTAACCTAAGAAATATATTCATTAAATAGTTAAGCAGCTTGTGGAACTAGTCCCAACACTCAGTTTTGCCCAGTGTTAAAAGCTTTTAACAGCGCTCATTACAGTGTGATTCTGCACTCAAAATATTTAAGATTAAAAATAAATTGTGATAGCCCTGCAGTGAAGTGCCATTTGGCATGTGTGCACAGGTTTCTTCACCCCTGTTTTTTTGATGTGGAAGAAAGGTGTAAAAACTCATCTTGCTGGCTTTCAGACCTGAGCACCCTGGTGACCACCAAGTTGAACATGAGCCAACCAGTAGGCCCTTGCCCCAAATAGGTTAACGGTATCCTGGGCTGCATCAGGAGGTAGAGGGAGATGATCCTGACTTTAGAACCTTTCTTTAAAGCTCTCAGAGGTAGCAGGTAGCATCTACATAATAATACTTACAGGGAGTTTCGTTAAGGGTAGCAAAACTGTAACCATGTTAAAGGAGTGATTAATGGATACCAGCCATCACCATCCATTGTCAAGGTTACCTGGGTCACATAGGGTAATATAGCCAGGAAAGCAAGTCTACATGTAATGGTTTATTTAACCATTATATTAATTAAAGAAATGGGGTGCAAATCATTGTTGAAGAGCTGCTGGTTCCCTACCACATCCAGTGGCTTCCACAGTGCTTAGGAAAGTAAGGCATGTGGCACTGTTGTGAATTAACTGGAGTAAGAATGGATGTCATTAGCTCCACACCTGATCATTACTGTAGTCATAGCAGAAAGAAAAAAAAAACCAACAAAAAACCCCACATAAAACCCTGTACTGAAAAATCTACCAATGGGTAAGGCTGTAGTTTCCTCTCCTGAGGAAACAAATATTTTCCTCCTCTTGCACAGCCTAGTCCAGCTATCCTATTAAAAAAAAGTGCTAACTCAACCAATTGCTACCCAACAGTCTCACGTGGACTGCTTGTATGCTGCTCGTTCCATTCCCAGCTACTACAGATCTTACACATTCAAGTTGATTCATCTCTATGCACAGGAAACTTCTATGAATAATAGATAAAAATGTGATTTATTACACTGTACAAAACTAGATTCAGACCAAGCAAGTGCAGAATATAGTATATGATTTATTTTTTTCTGTAAATTACATATTATTTGTTAAGTTTCACTGACAAATCCAAAACTTCCCTAATTTTTCCTTTACCTGCCTAGAGCCAAGCAATTAATTTTGTTCTACAGGATAGAAGAAAACAGCTTCCTGGAGAACTTAGCATCTGATTAACTTGGCCAAAGGTGCTTCAGCTCAGATTGACACTCAAGTTTCCCAGGGCTTGTAAAGAGTTGTCAGGGTGCCTGGTGGTAGCAGAATGTCCTGCCATGGTACCAGTCTAGAAACAAGCAACTCCATTCTCAATGAATTTCAGTAATCTCTTCTTCTTAGAAGATGAATTAATGCAGTTGCATTTGTAGACAAACAATATAAATGAAGGCTGTAGCTACCATCAAGAGAAAAAAAAAAAAAAATAAAAAAAAAAATCGCTTTGCAGTAGCCCCAGATCTCAAGTTACATAGGGTGTGCTGAGATAGGTTATATGCTTATTAAAGTCTTTAAGAAAAATAAATGCTTTTGTGTAATATATGTACAAAGACTAGTTGATTTCCTTCATTCATAGGTCCAACAACAGATACAACCACAGCTATATTTATTCACTAGCTCACAATAATTAATGCCTCCTTGGTAACTGATATATTAAGAATCCAAGATAATATTGGCTTATTCTTAATATAGTGCAAATTACATGGAGGTGTTTTGAAAACAGCGTCGTAAAGAAAGAAGGATTAACAGAAAACTCCTCCTTTGGTCCCTGCAAAAGTAGCTCAGCTCTTCCATCACATTTTCAAAACTCCCTCACATAATTTTAGCCAACTATTAAGGCGCCAAGAGAATGGATTTAAAGTTGAGATTAAAATGGTCTTTCTTGGACTTGAAAAGAAGTCCACTGCGGATTTCCTGACAAAGAAATTTATTTAATGTGTCTCCTCCTCCTCAGCTCTTTTCTCCCCAAAAGCAATACACCAAATAAACCTGTCTGGTAATCTCCCTCCACATCATTTTTTTGTTTTAAACTACAAGAGAACATTACACTTAAATATATTGCACAAAAAGCATAACGCATCCTGCCTGACTCTTCACAGAAATGGCCACAAACACAGGAGAACAGCTATTGAACATCTCAGAATTTGAAGAGATCAATGAAATGCTGAGGAGATACTGGCATGAGACAGGTGTCTGGATCACTGGCTGTGCAGGGGTGTCCCGTATCCTGCAGAATAAAGGAGAAAACAGTAAATTCCACACTCACAGTCTCCCCCCACACCCAATTAAAAGAAAAAAAGGGTAAAAATTCACAGCTAGGCAGTTGCAACTATTTCCACTGGAAACAAACTAATAGGAACTCACTTTAAGAATTCACCATATTTGTCTTTAACAGCTTAGTCTAAAACAATTAAGAGAACAGGCCTTTCCAGTTTGACTGTGGTAGTGCTGGGGAGCTTCAGATATCAGAAGAAAATCCAACCTCTCTCATCCTACCAGAACCAGAATATCTGAGTTAGAGCACTTGGAAAAACCTCTCATATTCCCTATCCATTATTTTTTGATTAAAAATAAAAAAGAGCAGCTGTTTTGTTGAACCTAAATTATCTGTTTAATGAAAATCTGCAATCAACTGCTACTTCAGGGAGAAAATGAGCTCTGTGCTTCCAAAGGGAAGAGTAGCAGACACTTCCTGAAAGAACTCCTGAACAGCATGTTTGAAGTCCCAGTCATTAAAGTTCTTCTGCATTGCTTGTTCCTCCCACCACTCCCTGTTTCACTCCTCTTTTTTTCCCACCTGACAGCACTGCCTTAAAACAGGGGTTAGCATCTAGGCAAGTTGGGAATACAGAAGACAGACAGGATGGAAAGGCTTTGCCATTACAAGTTCACTAAGTCTGCAGTGCTTCCTTTAATATTACAGAAACTTGAACTCAGCACAATTGTCCATTTAAGATTCAAATTCCCCATCAAATGAAATGTTAGAAAGGACCCTATAAAGGAAAGAAATGCTACAGATGTATTAACAGGGTCCCCACAGTTCAGTGGAGAGGCTGAATGCCTGGATCAGCAATGTTGTTAAGGCTCAGGAACTGTCCTTACAGTTCCTTACAATAATCCTTCCTAGGACAGTTCCTGAACCTTACAACAACCCCTTTTAAAGAGTTTCTCTCCCTTTCCCACCAGTATTGA